TTTTGCTGGACCTGGCCAATGGGTGCCCCACAGCCGTGTCACTTTTGTAACGACAGGTTGCACCAGTCTGAATTTAAGAATCTTCCCTGTGCCCCTGGAAGGGCTGTTTGGGGCTGTAGTGATACACAATCCTACCAGCTAGGACAGAAATGCTTTGGAAGCCTGCAGGACATCTTAACCACTTCCCTTCCTGTTCCAACAGTGCAAAGCTCATGTGAGTATCTAAATAAAGCCCCGCTTTATCCTCCCACATTGGCCAGTGCACTTCTAAAAGGAAATAAAAATAAAAACCTGCTAAGGAGTCAAACAACTTCAATCTGATTTCCAGGTTTGTAAATGGAAGCACTACTGTGGCATAAAGGAAAATTATATGTTTTGCCTCAAAAAATAATTTTTATTTTTTCCCCCTTCTCAACTGGTAATTATAATGTCAGCTCACTCCCACACATGTCTACGCGTTTTATGCAACTCTTGATACTTGTAGCTGTCATCAAGGAAAGCTTTTCAGGTTTTAAACTGTGACACATTTGAGTGGGTTCAATGAAGAGGATCCCTTTGCAGGGTTTGGGGAGATTTGCAGCGCTCACCAAAACACCCTACTACAACAATTGCTTCCTCAAGCACTTGGGGGCCAGTGTTGGCTAGAAGGATTTCAGCCTGGATTTAGGCATGCACTCTAAAGCACGTGCAAACAGTCAGATACACCTCAGCACTGGTCCTGCTTTCAGAAATCCCCATGTAAAGAATGTGTAAAAACACACCACTTCAAGACTGGTCCAGGGAGCCAGCATGCCTGTACAGCAGGGGAGAGTAATCTGCATTACTGTAGGAAGTAGGCTGGGTCCATGTTAACAATCCTTTTCGAAATGAAGGTGCTGTCAGATGGTTTAATTTAATTTACTCTACCTTAATTTACTTTTGGAAATGAGCTAAATGAATGAATTGAATTATGGCTACTTTAACTCTGAAGGAGCATATCCACATAGGAGCTTACTGTAGTTTGACTAATCACCTTCACGGTTTACACCCTAAATGTATTTGGATTAGCTCTCTGGGGCATCCTCATGTAGATACCCCTGGAGACGCCCACCTGCTTTTCCCTTCCTTCTCCAGGCTTGCTGCTCTGAAGAAGCTGGGGCTCGGTAAGCAGATTTAAATCATCTGTGTTTTTTCCAGCTTCACCCCTGTGTGGACTCTCCTATTTCTAAGGAGGAGGATAGAGCACACCACTGTGAAAGCATAGAGAGTTGCTATGCATTGAATGAGCTGACTTGGTTAATGTCTGGTGTATATAGCATGTTAATCCTGACATCGTATTTCTAATTTGAACAAACTCAAGACACAAAGAGACAATCATTTTTTGCTAGCAATATATTATTCTCCTGCTGCTTCTCTTTAGAAAATAGGAGGACAGAGGACAAGACAAAACCTTCAGTGGCAAAGGGAGAGCCATCTGCAAAGTCTCCTGAGAGGGACTTTGCAGCTGTAATATGGTGCCTTGGCACCACTGGACTGATTCCTGCATTCAGAAAGGTATAGCCTCACGGTAAAGACTTGATGAGGTCTCCAGGTAGTTCTGATATTATCCTCCTTTCACTGAGATAGTGGGATTTGCAAGGCCCAGAAATCATAATCTGCTGTAAAAGGTGTAGGTGTGTGGTCACCTATGTACATGAGTTTGTGCTTGCTTTCTGGAAATGGACACTGGTGACCACATACAAAAAAAAAAAAATAAAATAAAATAAAAATTCAAGCCTTTGGTAATGGCTAAGGATTTCTGACCTTTGCTCTAACACTGTAAATTTGTTTTTATAGCTTCTAATTGCCTTGCTTTGCAGCACGAACGTTATCTAACTGCCAGGGCACTGACCGTCATTATCTGCTGGGTCATTTAATTTGTGTTTTTTTACATTTGAAACTTGTCAGACATTCTCAGAAAATACTGTGCTCCCCTTGCAGTGTCAAATGTGGGCCTGGCTAATTGTGGATCCCTGAGAGTGAAGCATTTGAAGTAATCAGGCGTTGATTGTTTGGCTGCAATGGCGGCCCTTCTGCAATGGAAACACACCTCCTTTGAATGGAGGGGAGAGTGTAAAAATTAGATCAGCAGACACACGACAGCAACCAGATTTCATGGTTTCAGGGATCAGAGGTTAGTCATTTTTCAGCCTTGATGATTCATTTTCGATCCTACTCTCGTGGCTTTAATAACCTTATTTTCTCCTCCCTTTTGCAGTTTAAATACAGAATTCTCTTCTGTGCTTTGGCCCTCTCAGTATGCCAGCTGCAAAGTCACTAACATCTATCACTCCCCACCTCAACGTGCTTCACCAATTGGAAACAAATGTCAAGAAAAGCATGTGTGAAAGAGCCCAAAATGCCACAAGAGCACACGTATGCTTACAGGCTGTGAGCTCACCTGCGCTGCTTTAGGACAGTGGTGTGTAAACCGCAGCTCATCTAAAACATCAGCCTAGTCTGGAGGTCTGATAATTCATTTTGAGATCCTTAAGATTTCCTAACAATTAAACATACCAGTGAAATTGTTTTAGAGGTGAACATGTGCAGTACATTTGTTGTAGATGTATATAGGGCTTGAATTCCTAACTAAGGGCTGAACTAAAGCAAGCAACGTCTCCATTTTGTAGAACATGAAAAAAAGCCTCTCTGGAAGCACCAAGATGCCAGACCTCCATGTGAATTATGCTCCTCCTGTATTTAGAAAGAAGCAATTTTGCTGTTGAAATCAGAGGTTGGCATTTTTTCCCATGGGTTCCGTAACTCAAAATTATGTTGAGATCATGCATGTACTGAAGGGGTTTTTTTTAGCACCAAAGGTGAATGTATTCAGATTATTCAAGTGGTGATTTTTTGGATGTACAATTAGTAGACTGAGAGATGTGGTATAAATTTGGTATTGTAATTGCTATGCCTCTGAGATTTGCAAACCAGTTTGCATGGCTGCAAGATTAACTGTTGTATGTGCGATGAGCACGCAGCAGGGCTGTGATTTGATCACAACTGTCTATCAATTGGCTGTATGGCCACAAATCACTTTCTCACAAGAATCTGGTGTGAACTGAGTGCTTGATATTTGTGGTTCTTCAGCTCAACTTATGCTTGGATAGCTGCTAAAAAAGGGCAGTGAATAAAAATCCCAGTGTAAGTGCTGTTGGTTAACCCGAGTTTGCTTTTCAGCTGTTATGCAGATGCAAAAATCCTCTTTGCATATTTCTTATGTTGCTTTCTTCTCCTGCAAAGAGCAGACAGCCCAGTTTGCCTTTCTGGGAAGGAGGTTGCCTCTGCTGGGGTAAGCCTTGCCTGTTCAGTGCTGGGCATGGGCAGGCTGTCAGCAGTAACAGGAGCAGCCCAAGGGCAGGGATGGCTTGACTGACATGCCTCTCTATGTTTTGTGTGATTCTCTGTTTGGTCCACAGCTGCTGCTGTGTTTGGGTCTCCAGCATTGTCTAGGAACTTGTCAATGTAATTATACACAGAACCAGAGAAAGCACTTGTTCTCACTTCTGTGTGCCTCTCAGGTCTCCCTCACAGGGTCCTAATTTATTTATTTTTGTCTCTATGTTTTTCTCTTCAAAATTCGTAGGTTGGTTGAACTGTGGAGACGCAGTAGATGCTGAACTGGTGGCAGTTGTGATGGCAATGGGGAGGGGAGAGCTGAGGCAGTGAAGCTCCCTCAGCCAGGAGTTGGACTCAATAGGTCTTGTGGATTCCTACCAACTCAGGATGTTCTGTGATTCCATGACTCTGTCATGGTGTCCTAAGGCAAAGATTCCTGCTCCAGCACAGCACCAGCACAGCGGGGTACATGGCTGTAGGATCTGTGGCCCTTCACGTTCAGCCTCCCGTCATAGCTATATCTCAGGGTACAAAGATGTGAGGATTGGTTCCTAGGTTTGGCTCTGCCCAGCAGCTAGATGAGCAGACAGACAGGCTGAGGCTGTTTGTGCCTGTCATGCTGTGACACACAACTGTCAGGAGCCTGAGGGTAGTGGAAGTGGTGGGCTGTGAATTGGGAGGGTTTAATTAAGGCCTTTAAGCAAAGAGGCTGTGTAAGTAAACAGAACAGAAATGTTAAAAAAAAATTAATAGATAATAAAGGCTAGAGACTTACTTTTCCTTAAAGCAGCAAACATCCAGAATGCACACTGTAAACACACACCCGGCAGCACTTTGCCTGGGAAGCACACAGTGAGAGCAGAACCACATGAAGCAGCTCTGCTATACAGGACAGGCTGTGGGAAGCTACAAGGCTGGTGCAGCCATGCCAGGCTGTGATGAGCTCACATCTCTGAAAAAGGGCTTTATATTTCTCCTCATCAGAGATCAGCAATTGAACCCCAACTGCTTTGCGAGGTCTGCAGCCCAAAGGGTGCTGAAAGGGTCAGGCCACAAACAACAGTGACAAGTAAGGTTTTACATTATAATTAAATATTTGGAGTTAATGGAAGTGCTGGAATCACTGGCATCACATGCCACATGATGGGTGCTCCCCAGCCACATGGGCAGAGTTTGGCCATGGCTGTGAGCCTTCTTCCTAGCAGGGGCAATGAAGAGGTGAGCAGACCTGGGAACCAGCCGTCCTGGAAGCAGTATCTACCCCAGAAGGAAATATTCACTGTGACATGATTGCTGATAATGGGGAGAAATGATGTGAAATGTTTCAGAAGTGTGGTGAGGAGAAAACAGCTGTAAGTGCATTGGCCTGAAGGGAAACAGGGCTTTCTCTTGGAGAGTTCAGAGATAGTGCAGAGTGTCTTCTGGAAGGACTAACCCTTCTCTGACCAGAGGAGCAGGGCACCAGCTCTAATTTCTCTTAACCATCTCTAATTTCTCTTGAGCAGCCAAAGCCTCCCTTGCAGATGCTTCCCTGTGAGACTGCACGTGCATCTCCTCAGAGCTCAGCCACCCAGGGTTTGCTTATCTGCTTTAGGAACACCACAGCATTCATAACACCTGTCCTCTCTCTCTTCTTTTGGCAGGAAGGAAAAGCCGCCAGCCTTTAAATGCACCACCCAGAAGAGCCAGGGGACCAGCCATGCTGACAGCAAGCCAGGGAAGAGAAGCCAGGCACACCTGAAGGACCAATCTCTCCCTGCACGATGAGAGGAGAAGAGAGGAGAGGAGGGCTGGTTTGTGTGGTGAGGTGGAAGAGTGCAGCTGGAGCTGGAACTGCTGATATTTCTCTTCTTTTTTTTTTTTTTTCCCAGATAAGTATTTCTAAGATAACAAATAGTCCAGAGGGAAACGAAGGAGAGGGAAATTAGCTAGAAATTTTACCATTGATTCTTTTTTATTTATAGACGGTAAATCAATTTCAAGCCTTTTTCTTTCTTTTTTTTTTTTAGCTCTCATCTCTGGGAAAAAAAGAAAGAAAAAAAAAAAAAAAAGTGACCCAATAGATCTAGAGAAATCATTTGCAGTGGCTGAAAAGCTATTTGTTAAAACGAGAAGGCCTCCCCTTCCTCCACCAGCTCCTCTCTCTCCCTCTCTGTTAAGGGGTAATCCATACAATGAGCAAATGAGGGAGTCCTGGCTCCCCTGCTTCACTATGTGATGTCTCCCCATTTAGTGTCAGGCTCAGAAGCTTTTATGCCAATTGCATGTGCTAGCCCAGTTAGCTTGCATTATGAGAGCCTGATAAATAGCTTCTGGGAGTCCGGCAGGTGCTCCTCAGTGTGCCGTTTATCATCTGCTGCATGGTTAGGCTTTTGCTCTTCTATCAGATCATTTGAGGAAAGTGGTCGTATGAGAAATGCTAGTGGTGTCACCTGTCAGGTGCAGCACAAAATTCGCTGCAAGCCCTGTCTAACAGGCAGAAACCATGTTCCTCCAGCAGTAGCTGGTAGGAATCTAGGAAGAGTGGGCTTCCAAAAGATTTATGACTGAGGCAGTGTCAGCGAGGGGTAGCGCTGAAAGAGAAGGTGCTGAGACCCAGAGGATAGAAAGGGGAAGGATGAACCAGAATGAGGTTAAAGGGAGATATGTGAAACAAGAATGAATGAGTTCCCCTTGGTGTCAGGTGGTCCCAATGAAGTAGCAGTCCAAGACTCTGTAGTAAAGGAAGTGAGGTTGGTTGCTCCTCTTCTCTAAGCCAGGACATGACCCTTGCAATCTAGAAACAGGGTCAGACCCAGCTGGGTAGTCATGATGGGCTGGATAGAGAAGAAAGCATCCTGGGCAAAAATGAAGATATATGAGAAAAACTGGAAATTATAGGCAATGGACCTTCCAGGCTATTTAAATTTACTGCCCCTAGTGAAAATATTCCCTGTATCTTCAGCTGCGGAGAACTGGCTGCGGAACCTGAGCATTACCAACACTAAACCAATCTATGAGCCTACAAAGAACTACCAGAAAGCAACCTGAGTTGTATTTATGCAGCCAGGAAACTAGTAGTTCCTCATATGCTCATCTATCTTTGAATACTGTATCTGTCCCAGTGTTATTTTGGGTGTAAGGGAGCTCTGCATAAGGTCCTTTGGGGTCTCTGCCATACAAGCTAATACAAAGCAAGCAGGGTCAAGGTCTGCATTCTGTGTCTTAGGACCTCACACACTCTTCTGTAGTCCTATTGCACCACCCAGACAGCCCTCCTAGGACCAATGGCACATGGTTTCCAATCTGATTAGCATGACTGGACTGCAATCAGAATGAGTGAGCAGGTACAATTTGGGAGAAAAAAAAAAAAAAAGGGCTTTGCATGCCTCTAAAAAGTGCAAACTACTCAGGATCTGACAAAACTTGAGCTGATTGTTTCTGTGCATTAGTCAGCTGCTTGCTGAGCTTTCATTAGTCCATTAGTTAGTTTGTTTGTCTCTGAAAAGGGTAACTTGGCTAAAACAAGATACCCCACTGGAAGGAGAATGGTTTAAAATACCGAGCAAATGTGATGTTGTCAGTCTTTCAAGGTGAGGGGGTTAAACTGTGAGCATTTTAGGGAGAATAAAACGCCCTCATATGATGAATTCCAAGGCATCCAAAAGGCATAGTGCTGGCTCTCTGTCTCCTAGAGCAGAGTAATGAATAGCTGTGACAGTGTGATAATTAAAATGACCTCTTGAAGATATGGATTAGAAGGTATGCAGAGGGGGGATAAGTTCTCCTTTGAATTAATCTACTGTTAATTTATGACTATCATTGGGTTTTATAGGGTTTTAGTGGAAGACTTTCAAAGTTGGTTTACTGGGAGGAAAATGTTCCTTTTGCATATTCAGTGAGAAAATATTTGCAGAATTCCTTGTTATTTATTTTTGAATGGTTCTATTTATATACGTATGCATATATATAATAAGAGAGTTTCAGATATTTGCTTAGCTGCTAAAGGATTTGCTCAAGAAATACGAATAAAGTGATAAAAGCAGCTGAGGAATGTGCGTGTTGTTTCATTTTCAGATTCCATCTTCCCCAAGGGCTCCCAGAGTCACTTTGAGACCAAGAAGTGGACAAGCTGGTTCTGGGAAGCCCTTGGGCTGCCCTGATATCAGCTGTCAGAGATTCCTGCCATCTGACTTGTAAAAGTCAGCCTTTTAAGTTCAGATTTAATAACTGGATTTTCCTGAAATCGCTGTTTCTACTTGTTTTCTGTCACCCACATCTACCCCAGAGCCTGCAATTTTCAACTCTGTGAAGACCTAATGTGGAATCCTCATCTCTGCCAGAGTGGTATCCTTTCTGCTGAGATATCCCAAGCTTTAGTCAGACAGAAAGGACAGATTGGAGATAGTTACCCATATGGGAAATGATGACATCCCATTTGTCAGCTCCCATGTTGGTAACCTTCTTCCCATCCCCTCCACCTGCCTAGCAATACCATAACATCCAAACATAAGGTTATCTGCCAAGAGCATCTGCCTTGCTCTTCAGTCAGGCAGCATGCCCATTCTGGAGCCCACCCTCTCCATCCTTGTTCCAGCACGTTGTGTTCAGATTCATTTCACTCTGTCTCAGTTTCTCTCTTACATCTTCTGTTCCACTAATAGCTGCCCCCACCCATCTTTCCACTTTGAGATCTCTATAATGTCGCCTCTGAACCCCTTAGGCAGAGCAAAACTGTAGTGCTTTTTCCAGAGACCCACCTCTGCTTTCATGGTTCACCAATAAACTGTTACTTGAAAGCTCTCCCTGGCCTTCTGAGGCAGAGCTTGAGCCCTTCTGCTGGTTCTCTGCCAGCTTACAATTTGATGTGGTACTGTGTGTGACTATTTCACAAGTGCCTGGGGACACCATCATGGGAGCTGCTCTCCGTCTCTAGTTCAGCTTCCCCCATGTAAGCACTGAGGTCCTTTTCCTCCATCTGAGCAGGCAAATCCCACTTCATAGCCTGTTTCCGGCCTGTTTTCAGCTGCTGTGGTTTGAGTCCCTTTTTCCTGAGAAGTAGATCTGTGTCTCAGCCATAAGGTGCACTCAACAAGTAATTCCTTCCTGTTCTTGTGAGTAAGGTCCAAGGTAACACCAGGTATTCTGAAAGGTTTAGAAGACAATACAAAGCCCAAATTGTTATGTCTGACAGGACATAAATAAATTTTATTTTGGGAACAAATGCATGTATTTATCTGAGCCCGACTGGGGGGCTCTCCTTGTGGGGAGCCTGAAGCCCCGCTGCATTGTCCTGCCTGCCCCTGCTCCCTGCCTTGGGAGCAGGAGGGCCCTCCTTTGGAGGAGTAGCAATGACTTTACCTTGCTTTGCCCAGGACTGGCTCATGAATATTAAAATACTGAAATTAACTTGTTTTCTGTGCATTCTGCTCTCCTGACAAGAAAATCCTGCTAGAAACCCCTGCACAGGCAGTCTAACTGCGTTGAATTGGACCCTCACTGTGAAGGGATTATATATTCTGATTGGGGCTGAGTTTGCAATTATTTTCTCTGCCACACCAAAGACCTTTACTGCTAAGCTACAAACCAGTTATAGGAACATGAAATGCTTTGACTTCTTCACTAGGGAAACATTAATCCAATCACAGGTTATGTCCATTACAGACTATGGCAATATTGTATACAGGAATTCCCAGGAGAAGATTCTACAAAAATTGGAATCTCTCTATAACCATGTTATGAGATTTACTGGTGTGGATAAAATGGCAGAGTTAAAATTACCAGGCTGGCTATCTCTAAAAGACAGGTGAAGTCTGCTGGCTATCATTGCTTCATAATATTACAAATGGAAAAGCCCTGAAGTAATTGAATAACACATCTGCAGAAAAAAAAGCTTGTGAACTGTTATAACCTAAAGATAGACTGCAAGGAAACAATGTGCATACAGCACCCGCTTAAAAGAAGAAAGATGCTTTCCTTACCTGGTGCAGGAAGATACCCGCAAATGTAGATACAGATTCTCTCTGCCTCCTATATTATATGTGTCTGTGCCTTGTATGTGTATGTATGTCTATCTCTTTTCACATAAAATAAGTTAAAGCAGTTTTCTCCACAGGCTGAAGCATGGTGCTGGATGGTGACAATTCATAAGGAGAGCTCACTGCATTGTTTTGTACCAGAGGTTGTTAAAAACATTTGACACGGTTGGCAAAAGAGCTGATTTTTGTCCCCTGCACATCTCTCTGTCCTTGCAGTGAAAATGATTTCAAAGCACTTTGTAACGATGGTTTTCCCTGTGTGCTTTTGGATCAGTGTGCTGTGGGCCATAGTGCCTGTGTAACAGCAGAGAGCTGCTTCATGGGGTCTGTGCAAGTCCAGGGCTAGCAGGACAATGTGTGCTGACACAGCTGCTGCTCTATGGTTAGATGCAAACAATCTTTTTGTGTAAGCACACCCTGTTTGCACCCTTTGGAAGGGGACAATGGCCCACAGCCTGCTGACCTGCTCACTATCTCCATGTAAATACAACCATGTCATCTTCAAGGATGGAGGAGCTAGAAGGCTTCCTGGAACCACAGGTCCCAGTGCAGCTGGCCATCATCTCTTCTGTTCTCTGGAGGTAAGTGCATGTCTGAGGGGCCTCAGATCAGCTCAGACATCCTATTGCTGGTTCTGGTGGGGCCTAGAGGAGCACCTCTCAGTACTCGTGTTCTTCCCCATCTGGTAGCTCAGAGTGGAGATCCAATGGCATCTCGGGAGCTATGCTGCAACACTGTGGCAGTCAGGGGCTGTCATAGCCAAGGACTGTGATTTATTTCCCATTTCATGCAGGCTAGCATGCACAGCACATACTATTTTGGGAGAGTGAGTATGGAGGGGTTTAAATCCTCCTGTGAAAGAAACACAAGGGAGGCTGAGCTCATGAGCATTGGGTAGCAAGGTGCAAGAAAACTTTGAAATCAGAGCCCCTCTCCACATTTTTTCTTATTAAAAAAGCTGTTTGTCATTGAAATATTTCAGACTTACAAAATATAAAAATGCTGCTTTTCCAGCAAGGCTTGAATATCTGAAAGCAATGGGAACAGAAATCATCCAGCTCTAACTTTACCTGCAGTATCAATCACCTGGGTATATGAAGGAAGATTTTCTTTCCAGCTAAGTGTTTGAAAGAACAATGAAGTGCTAGAGCAAGTTTTGTCATTGGGGAAGAAGTCTGCCATCCACCATTGCATAGACAAATTATACTGAGTATGAAAAGTCCCCTGCCCATTTTGCACCTTTGCAGCTCTAAAGTACAGTCGGTGCTTTAAGCCTGAACAATTGCTGAGCATTTGTACCCATCTCCCTTTGGTTAAAGGTGAAGGTAGGGGTTTTTTTTAGTTTCACTCCCAGTCCATACCACAAAGACTAGTCCCATCAGGGGGATTTTTTTCTGCTGCCACCATGCCTCATTTTAAGGAAGGATGAAGGAATTTCTATAGGAGGAATTTTCTTTAGGCGCCGTGTTGCCCATGTTATGTGATGCAATTTGTGAGATGCCCCATATTGAGCTGTGCTGCAGGAAACTATGAGGCTGCTTGCTGTTGTTTGCAGTGCTGAATGCAGGGCCTGCAGGGAAACCAGGCACAGCTAGTGGGGAAGTTGTTTTCTGGCAATACATATTGTACTTAGCACTTTCATTTCTTCCTTCCCTAAGGGAGATTCCTTTCCCTTTTGGTTGGTCACAGCCCTGTCACACTCCCAAAGAGTTTGAGAAGCTGATTCTGAGTCACAGGGTGGAAAATATATAGCATGTCCAGGGAGATTTGACTAAGAAGTAGCAGGAAGAGGAGGGAAAAAAAAAGGACACACTGCATGTGTCCCAGGGCAGTGCTGGAATGGGTAAGTGCTAATTAATAAATTGCACATAGAACAAAATCCTTTCTTATTGCGAACTCTCTAGGTGAAAAATTATTGGTAAATTAATAAAAATGCAAACAATAATGATACAAGCATTTGTATTGGCAATTGTATAGACTAGCCCACTGTTTCTGCACTTGAGAAGCTCAAGCACATAGAATCATAGAATCATAGAATCACCAAGGTTGGAAAAGACCTAAAAGATCATCCAGTCCAACCGTTCACCTATTCCCAGTAGCTTCTACTAAACCATGTCCCTCAACACAACATCCAGCCTTTCCCTGAACACCCCCAGGGTCTGTGACTCCACCACCTCCCTTGGCAGTCCATTCCAGTGCCATACCACCCTTTCTGAAAAGTAATACCTCCTAATGTCCAGCCTGAATCTCCCTTTCATTCAACGTAGTCAGCTCTTCACTCTCTTAGAACACCTTCTAGTGCTGCCGAGCTGCCCATCATGCATCAGGCAATCATTGCTGGGCTGGTTCTGGCATCAGAAAACAAGTTCTGTCCCAAACCAGGCTGCAGGGCAAATCATTCGTCAGCACGACTGCAGTATGCCAGTGCAAAATCACAGGAGAAACTATCCCTGTGTCCCTGTGTACTCTGAAATCATCAAGCTAATAAGTACCCTGGATGATAAGATGTAATCTTTTAAATGCAGTATGGATTTCTTCCCCTGAATTATGCATGATAACATCTTTAGGCATGAGCTTTTTTTTTTTTTTTTGCTTTTTTTTTTTTTTTTTTTGAAGGAGCTGTCTTTTGGTAGTGGTGGAAGTAATCACTATGTTTTACAATTAGGGAGGCAGGCCCAGCGAGAGCTCCCTGTTGCTAAACAATCTCTGCTAACGGCTGGGCCCCAGGACAGTGCCAGAATATCTCCAGGAGATGTGAGACTGTTAACACAGTGACTGAATGAGCAGATGTGGATTCCCAGGAAAGGTTCAATTCTCACCTGGGAAGAGATGCACAAGAGGAAAGGGAACGGATGCCTCAGATTTCAGAAGGGATCAGATAAATTCATAGAATCATAGAATTATTTAGTTGGAAGGGACCTTTAAAGGTAATCTGGTCCAACTCTCCTGCAATGAACACACCTACAGCTCCATCAGGGTGCTCAGAGTCCTG